TTGACACACACTCCAACCAACACCACCACGGACCACCACGACCAGAAAACCGAGTCCCATCAGAGAGGCGAAACACCACCCAAAGGAATAGCCCACCAATCGAAGACAAGAAGAAACGAGGGACTTACCACCACCAGATAGACCTCCACCAGCGACTGAGGAACCCAATCGGAGACGACAGGCCGACTGGGACGGACGCCACCGCCACTCTGGAACCCATCCGCAATCGGAAGCTAGGTCTCCAACCTCGGCCATCTCAACGACATCGGAGTCGCGCAAGGTCAAGGGGAAGGAGGGGCAGGCAGCGACGACCCCTAGCCGATGCTACGCCGTCACCAAGGGAGGCTAATCGATCGGAAATTGGAAGCGCTTTTTGCAGAGAAAGGGGGAGGGTTTCTCAAGAGAGAGAAGGGCTTTGTTTAATTGGTTCTTTTGTTCGGAAGTCCTTATTTCCTTATTTTTGAATTAATTGTGAACATTCATGAATTTAATACTTATTTTGTCTTATGATTTGTTGTTAAACACTTGTTTATTGGATTGGATCTAGTTTGTTGAATACCATGTTTTAATACGGTATCGTACCGGCCGGTAATACCGGTAATATGGGATATTGGCTATTGGTACGGTACAAATACACTCAAAATACCAAATTTAAGGTTATACCGGTTTGTACAGGGATCATACCGTAAAAACCGCAAAATACCGGTCCAAAATACCGGTTAATTAAAAAAATAAAAAATAAATAAATTTTTTTAATTTAAAAAATAAAATCTAAATTGGTAGTTAAAATTATATTATTTTTATCTCATTGAAAAGTTAAAATTAATGATTATGGTCATTTATTTTTTTTACTTTAGTGCATTTGGTATTATATATTTGTATGTATATTTATATTTATTATTATAATTGCTAATCCGGTAATACCACCGATATTACCGGTCCGACCGGTAATACCGTGTACCGGTGGCTAGACCGGTATGACCATCAGTACGCTATTTAAAACACTGGTTGAATATATGTTGCATATCAACTTATTTTGGCTTTAGTTTGTTAAATACTGTATTTTTTGCCCCAATTCAAATTTACTTGTGAAACGGTATTTTTAGAACTTCTTTTTTTCTTCGCTTA